ACAGGCGGGCGCCCCACTCGCCCAGAGTCCTGAAGCTCCGGTAGGGCTGGTAGGGCCGACGGTGAGCGTGGCGGTTTTGGAGACTTGCGGGATTGAGCCGGCCGCCATTTGACTGAGGCCGGACCCAGACCAAGTGTGGGTCCGGGGCGGCCCAGGAGTTGCCCACCCAGCAAAGACAGAGGAAAGGGAGTGAGTGAGACACAGGGATGGGAGACTCAGGTCGGGGAAACCGCCTGTGCACGCTACTCCAAGCCGTTCCTCTGTCCCTACAGCCCCCACCCTAAACCAGCCCCTCACCCTAAGGACCGGGGCTGTGCCTTCGAACTGTCTCCCTGCTTCCTCTGCAGCCTCGAATTCGATGGCTCTCGCTCCTGGGCTCAACTCCCGGCAGCCCGAGTGAACGTCCTAAAATACAAACCCGATCTTTCCTCTCCAGAACATAAAACCTCTCTCCTCTCCCTCGGGGTAAAATACTCCATAATCAGGTCTACAGGATTCTACCAGATCCACCACCACCACCCCGCCCGTAGCCGAACGAAACCTGCTGGTTTCCTTGCCTTTGCGTGGGCCACTACCTGTCCAGGAACGCTTCACGCCCCTCCCACCGAATTCCAATCTATCCCTGGGCTTCCCTACCCATGATCTGCTCTTTGACTAGTCGTTTTCCTCTCTTAACTATGGGCACGCTGAGGTCCAAGTGGCCCCTCAATTCGCCGCAGTGTCCCCAAGACCCAGAATTGTCCACGTGTTTAAACTCCTAGAGGCTTAGTAAGGATTTTCCATTTTAAGTTGCCATTTACCAAGTACCCCCCAAGAGTCCTGTCACATTGGGCTCCCTGGGAGCAGTGCTGAGAATAAGGTAAATGAACTGTAAGACGGGTGCCTGGGGAAATCTGGTTGAACCCCAGCCTCTTAGCCCCTGCTTATGTTTCAGATTCCTCTTCCTGAAATCTGAGGAAGAGGCCACCTTCCTGACCCCCTGGGGACTGCCTAGCCAGCTGCTGCAAACTTCATTTACCATAGCAGAAGGAACACTGACGTCTTAAGTGCCAGAAGCTTCCACATCAATTAATTCAGGTCTTCCCCCACCCACTTCCTTCATAAAGTAATTCATGTGGACATCCCCTCTTCATTACTAGAGCATGATATTTAAGAGTGCAGACTCTGAAGCCAGACTTCCTGGGGTTATGATTTACTAGTTGTGTGATCTTAGGTAAATTACTTAACTCCTCTATGCCTGTTTTCTCATATGTAAAAATTAGATTTATCAAAAACTTAGCTTTTATTATGTGCCAGCCACTATTCTGTAGGCTTTATAAATCATTTTTTAGGGAAGCCTGGGTGGGTGTCTGCCTTCAGCTTGGGTCATGATCCCAGGGTCCTGGGATTGAATCCCACATTCGGCTCCCTGCTCAGTGGGGAGCCTACTTCTCCCTCTGCCTGTGCTCCCTCTGCCTACCCTGCTTGTGCACGCTCTCTGACAAATAAAATTTTTTAAAAATCATTTTAATTCATTTAACCCTCATAACAACACTATGAGGAGGTAGTGTTAGTATGATCCTCTTTTGGCAGATGGAGAAACTAAAACACAGCTCCCTCTCTCCCCCTCACCCATACTAAATGGCAAAGCAGAGATTCAAACCTGGGCCTGGGCCGTCTAGTTCCAGAGTCTGTACTTTTTTTTTTTTTAAGATTTTATTTATTTGAGAGAGAGTGCAAGCATGAGTGGGGGAGAGTGGCAGAGGGAAAGAGAGAAGCAGACTTCCCACTGAGCAGGGTGCCTGTTATGGGGCTCGATCCCAGGATCTGAGATCATGACCTGAGCCGAAGGCAGACACTTAAACGACTGAGCCACCCAGGCGTCCCTAGAGTGCTCTTTATCACTACACTGGTACCTACTTTGTAGGGTGGTTATAGGATTAAATAAATCAATATGTATAAACCACTGAGAATAATCCCTGGCCCATAGTAAGTACTATTTTACTTTTAGTTGTCGTTGTTATGATGATGATGATAATAAAGGTAGTTGGAAGAAAGGCAGGGACAAGGGGTCCCTGTCATAAGAGTAAACTACCCTTAAAGTGAAGAAGACCCCATCCTGTTATTCCAGACTTTACCCAGTGCCCCAGCTTTAAGTTGGCCTACTGGGAAGACTTAAAAACTTGTATGTGACAGAAAGGAAGGGAATGGCCTTGGGTATCCTAACCCAGGCCCAGGGGCCAGCTCAACAGCCAGCGGGATATTTAAACTACCAGCTTGATCCGGTGGTGGCCTGCACCAGCATGGCATGCCTTAGGGCAGTGGCGGCTACCGCCTTCTTGATCCCTGAGGCTATGAAACACCACCCTGGAAGGAGCCCTCAACCCTTTTCCACCTGAACAACTACCGGATAGGTAGATGAGTTGTATGAATAAAAACTCTCCAAAAGCTCATCAGCTAATAGGGTAAATGAGCAAACAATTAGATCTATTAGGGTAAAGATAAACTGTAGGTGCTGTGGGTGCCCACCCAAAAGGGTCACTGAAGGCTCTTTAGGCCTTGGTGATTTAGGAATTTGCAAGGTAGCCAATGTGGGGAATAGTACTTCAGGCAGAGGGAACAGCCAGTGCATGCCAGGGAGAAGAAATATTAGTAAGTCCTCAGGGATTGGCAGTCATTTTTTACTCTTTTCTCACATCACTTACCTGATCCACCTGCAAATCATATTGGCTCTACCCTCAACCTCTACCTTCAAAATATATCCAGGGGCAAGAGCACATAAAAAGATGCTCAATACCATATCATCAGGGAAATGCAAATTAAAACCATCCAGTCATATGGAGCCGAGAAAAATGAGTGCATATGTCCCCACAGAGATTTTTACATAACTTTATTTGTAATAGTCCCAAACTGGAAACAACCCAAATGTCCATCAACAGATGACTGGATAAACAAATAATAGATATAAAATAAATATATCCATACAGTGGAATACTACTCAATAAAAAGGAATTATAATACAATATGAATCTCAAAATAATTTTTCTGAAAAAAGCCAGAGTGGATACTGTATGATATAATTTACATACAACTGTAGAAACTGCATAACAGAACCAATTAAAGTGAAAATGGTTACAGAAAAGGGATTACAAAGGGACACAAGGAATTTTGGATATGTTCTATTTGTAAGATTCTAGGGGTCCCTCTTCGATCACTGAGAGAGGTGTGGGGAATCAACTCTGCCTGGGTTTGTCCAGATCATGCCAACCCCTGCTGTGTCCTCATTTATGCACCTGCATAGGATAAGAATTTGATCTTAGAAACCACCGAATCCAAATTTCTTGCGTTCCTGTAAAGGGGAGGAGACTCCGAGACGAGCGCCAGGGCCCTGGGCTGCTTTATACACACACCATGTCCAGCCCACACCCCTGACCTCTACCCTGGGCTTTCTGGGCATCAGCTTTTGCAAACTTAGCTTTCTTTTTCAATGTGGCCACTTGTCCAGGAACCAAGCAGAGAAGGACTCGCAGGTTACGGAGTTCCGGCACAAAGTCGGGGATGGAACCGCCGAGGGACGCCAAAGCCTTGTCCAGCGGTGGTGGAAACCACCGCCACAGCCTGGCCAGGCCCCGCGGCCGCAGATGACACACGGCGGCATCACCGCCCTCTTCCGTGAAGATGGAGGGAAAATCAGGCTCTGGAGTCCATCTGGCAGTCTGCCACCGCCGCTGTGATTCCGGACGAGCGACGCGACCTGTTTCCAGGAGCCCTTCTCGTAAACGGGGCCGCACCAAAGCCCAGGCCCTCTGACTGCCGGGCGCGCGCTCCGTTTCGGGCGCGGCGCGGCGCGGAGCATCGCGGGAGTCGCGCCGCCTGACGTCACCAGGGGGCGCCAGACGGGCCGCCGGGCTGTGGAGTTAAGGCAGCCTTGCCCCGCGCTACTCCTCGGGCGCAGTTCCGCTAGCCCCGCACCCTCGGAGCTGTCGTCGTTGGGAGGCTTCCCCAGACGCCTGCTCTTTCGGGTCGTGCGGAGGACGGGTGAAAGAAAGGACCAGGGGTTGAGAGCGGGGCAGATAGGTGGTCGACCTCCGACATCATGGCGGACGGGGATAGGCGTCCAGCAGTCGCCCCGGTCCAGAGCCCTGTTGACCCGCTCTGCCTCCACCTGGCCCTGACTCCCCGAGTAGTTCGGCAGCGCTGGACAGGCTCCTGACGCTCCAAGTTTCCTTCGTGCAACCTGTAACCATTTGCGACTCTACGAAGTTAATTTCTCTCCCAGGTAGATTGTGAACTGGGAGTAGAGCGCTAGGATAAAACGATGGTGGGCTTCACGGTAAAATTTGGTATAAGCAAGATATATTATTATTTTCAAAGTAAATATTTCTTCCTGTCTCTTGAAGTCAGCGGAAGAAACTGATAACACTGGCTGCAGAAAGGGGAACTGAATTTACCCACTTCAGTGGCTGAAGAGGGTAAAATTCTTTTCAATATCTGTCAATTCCGTGCTTGGTATTACCTAATTTTAAAAAATCTCATTAGAGCATATTTGTAGCGCTCTCGAACATTTTAGGGAACAGAGTTTGAATAAAACCCCTCATACTTGGCTTTATAAACAAGAAGTTACCTAGCAAAAGCCACACCGTAGATCTATGAATCATAAGAACCACAAATTTTCCTTCTTGGTCTTGGGGAGAGAGACCTTTGTTCCCAACACTTTAGCTCCCCTTCCTCATTATTCCTCTTCGTTTTGACACTCAAGTTTCTCTGATCAGAGACGTATTTGAATTCAACACATAAAATCTCCAATATTTTTATGCTGTTACCTGCTAGGACTGCTACCATCATCTTTGTGTGTGTGTGTGTGTGTGTTTTAAGAGTGAAGTTAAAACATTTGTTCAAGTCCGTTAACTTTTCATGTTTGAATTTAAAAACACCCCAGTGTTTTTAAACTTTCACCAGTCGATTGAACTTAATTTCACTAATAGAGGACCAATCTGACATACACAGCACCAGCTATGAGATACTCTTGCCAAAAATGTCTAAATCAAAGCCAGTCAAGCCTTTAAACCTAACTTCAATTTGCAGGAAAGGAGATAATGGAGTAATAAGACACCATAAGGAAACCATCAGAAAAATCCAGAATGTGGGACACCTAATAAAAATTTTTTTTAAATGACACTTCTCCTACAACAGCACCATTTCACATCCCCATTACTTCCTCTTGAGGTTATATCACACTCTCTGTAAATGGCCTTCCTTCCATAGTTCCCATCTTTATAGAACCCACTAGCTAAGCTGTTCCCATTGCATCACATCCCTTACACACTGGCATTAGTTCTGCAATCTTGTATCTGGCTTTCAGGGTTCCCTAAAGCTGGTTCCCAGTATATCCAGTACACTGCTGTGCATTTCCACATCAGCTGCCCCATTCAAGCAGGTACAGTCTCCCATTGACCTTGGGACAGATGATCATATTATAACCCAAATGATGATGGAATTCAGTGCTTCAAGAGCTGAGGAGGGTGACCTAGTATGGGTAGACACAACAGCTTCCAAATGGTTGTGTCCTATGGACGGCTGGGAGATGAAGGGGTGAGTGATCCATGTAAGGAAGGTATCTGGTCTACTATTTTATCTTTTGCATTAGGCACATGGGGCAAACAGACCTTGTGGGTTGTTTTATATCCTGAGTTAGTCCAAAAGCTGAACAATATTCATAAGCTTGACATTTATGCCTTTGATAAAAGAGACTCAAATTCAGAACTAGAGTTCAAAGAAAAGACTTCAGTGAAAGACTTTCATAAATTATAAAAGTAGGGATTCAGTCAGATTTAATTTTAAAAATGGAATGTATCTCACATAAGGATCTTGTTAGAAATGTTATATCTATCTGGGCACTACAGGAGATGCACCGACCTACAACTCATGGGGTAAAGAGTGTACAGACAATTTTGATAAGGAGTTGAAGAATTCAAAAATAGTTTACAAAGAGAATCAGGAGGCAGA